CTCCGATTCCTCCCCCCGTTACCGTAATTCGCCGGAGATGCCTCAGATTGGTCACGTCTTGCGTCTCCTACACTCAGAGCTCCGTCAAGAGCAGTACCGCAGACGCCGTATCGGTCGACGGGAGGAACCAGATTCGTCTTGGTCTTCCTAGCAAGGGACGCATGGCTGCCGATTCGCTCGATCTTCTCAAGGTGAGTGTTGTTATGCGACTGGTTCTAATTCCGTTTTTCTTCCCACATAAAATTGATGAGGACTTTTGCTGGGTAATTTGCATGGAGATTTGGAGTCCTCGATCCGATTTATAGAGTATACTGTTCTTTGGTGAGAGAATCGCTGGTAATTGACTAATTGGGATTAAAAAAATGTCAAATTGCAATTTATATTATGAGCTCAAAGGCTCTTTCTTATGCCTTTTAGCTAATAACTTTGTTGTGAAGTATTTAAATACTGGTATGGTATTGTGTCTGTTTTAAGAGTCTCATGCTTTAAGATCAGAATTCTCTTTGTTTGCTTTCTTGGGTTATTGTAAAGGTTTCATTTTGATGATTCTCTGGAATGATGTATTTTTTAAGCAAAATGAACACAGTGATTTGCAATCTCGTAACTAGCTCCTTCTGACTCTTTCTATTTATTTACTTTCACTCATTCTGATGAAGGATTGTCAATTGTTCGTCAAACAAGTCAATCCACGGCAATATGTTGCTCAAATTCCCCAGGTACGCATTTGTAGAAAGGCAAGACTGCATTGAGTTTTCTAATGTTTGTTTCATGTTTAGCAACTTGTAGTGATAATCTTATTTTTTCCCCTGTCCTCCAGTTACCAAATACTGAAGTTTGGTTTCAACGACCAAAAGACATTGTCCGGAAGTTACTCTCCGGAGATCTGGATTTAGGTATCGTTGGTCTTGACATAGTTAGTGAATTCGGTCAGGTAAATGTCAAGTCTGATCTTGTTTTCCTTCTTCTGTGGCTTCCCTTGACATTAATTGCGAAAGGCTATACTGTTTGAGTTAGCTTATATGGTTTAGACTTGTCTTCTGAAGGGTACTTTTGCATCAGAATTTATATATTTTGAGTTTTGTCTCTAGGGTAATGAAGATCTTATCATTGTCCACGAAGCTCTCAACTTTGGAGACTGTCATCTCTCCCTTGCTGTACGTTCTAACCGATAGAAGTTGTGACTTATCATCTCTAAGATGACTTCTTGAGTTCTCTTTTCATATGGTTTCAGATACCCAATTATGGAATATTTGAGAACATAAATTCTCTGAAGGAGCTAGCACAAATGCCTCAATGGACTGAGGAAAGACCTTTACGAGTTGCTACAGGATTCACTTATGTATGATGAGTTACACAAATTCCTTTAGTATATTGTTGTATTTTAATTTTGATTCAGAATGCAATTTAACTGTTTTGGAATCGTCCAACTTGTGTTTGCAGCTAGGCCCCAAATTTATGAGAGAAAACGGTATCAAGCATGTGACTTTTTCAACTGCAGATGGAGCCCTAGAGGCAGCTCCTGCGGTGAGATTTACGTTATTTGCATATTAGCCTTAGATTTCGACTAAGGTTCCCTTAGTAGACTACCAAGCTTCCATAAGGATAAAAGGGCTTGGATTTTGTATGAAAATGTATAGTACATTAGATCTCTCTGTGAGAGTTCTCTTATTAAAGTTTACCCATTGTGCCACTCTGGAAGATTTAGTCGGCTTGTAGTGTCTTAGTTTTTTATATGGCTGATAGTATCTCCAATCAGCTTGAGATGATGGATTAATAATATTGCAGAAAGAAACCATTGTTGTCCGCAGTGTTTGTTGACACGTTTGTTCTTGTTAATTAGATGGGGATCGCTGATGCCATTTTAGACCTTGTGAGCAGTGGGACAACTCTTAAAGAGAACAACTTGAAAGAGATTGAAGGAGGCATTGTGCTGGAAAGCCAGGTTTGATGTGAAGATCTTTGGAATTACTTAAATGTTCTGCATTTGACAACCGTTACATCAAATGATCTTTCCTTTTTTGTTCACCACCAGGCTGCACTCGTGGCTAGCAGAAGGGCATTGACTGAGAGAACAGGAGCACTAGAAACAGTGCATGAGATTCTCGAGAGATTGGAAGCCCATTTGAAGGCGGATGGTCAATTTACCGTATGTGCATAGTGATTGTAATGTTTTTCCTTATCTCTACCTTTGCTCTTTTTCATCCTATGTTTTCACTTCAGGTTGTTGCAAACATGAGAGGAACAGATGCTGAGGAAGTGGCTGCACGTGTGAAAACCCAACCATCATTATCAGGATTGCAGGTAAAGTTTGAGAACATTTGTATTTCCAACCGAAGAATGGCTTTCGAGGTATATGTGGGTTTTTTCACTGATTGTAGTTAGTTTTGACGATTGTGCTTCTTTTTGTGATGTGCAGGGACCAACGATAAGTCCAGTTTACTGTAAACAAGATGGAAAAGTATCGGTTGAGTTTTATGCCATTGTGATATGTATACCCAAAAAAGCTCTATACGAGTCTGTCCAGCAACTGAGAGCGGTTAGTAATGCCATCCATCTTTACTTCCACATCCCACTTTTACTCGAAGATATGTCATTATTTAAGGGACTTACAAATACATTGCTTTGGCTCTTAAAATTTATCAGCCTAAAACTACATGTTTTGAATCCAAGATGTTTTGTTTAGTGATATGTCATCAACTGTGATTGCAGATTGGAGGAAGTGGGGTACTGGTTTCACCTCTAACTTACATTTTTGATGAGGATACACCCAGATGGAGTCAGCTTCTGAGTAACCTTGGCCTTTGATGCTGCTTCACATAACTCAAGACAGACTTTGATTTAGTCATAGAAGGTGTTCTAAGTAAGAACACCCTTTGGGTCAAACACTCCAATGTTTTTTTTTGTTTTTGTTTTTGACGCAGTTCCGGATGATACTCAACTTAAAAAGAATTCATTTCGATTTTCAAATCAAATTGTCTAGTTCATATGGCTCTTAATGGAATGAACAAGTAGTAAGGGATCAAAACTTTCATAATGAAAGGCACACTTGATCCATATCACTAATTCCAGTAATAATTAGATTCATAACTCAGGATCTATGGTCGAACATATCAGAAGAACTAAGCATCCCTATCTATTCAGCTTCTGAAGACTCCTCGCCATTGTTGTACAAATGAAGTGGACTTAAATCTTCATGGAAACTCACATTTGACACGCCCAAGATAGAGACCAGATGCAGGAGCCATGGGTTTGGCTGCAGACACGGTCTTCGCCTCCAGGATTTGTTTAACTGAAGCAAATCCATAGACAAACTCAATTGAGCATTTTAAACATTGTTCAAATTCTATTAAACCCATAACTGTAAACTCTCTACAAGGAGCGAGAGAGAGACGTACCATCTGAGACAGTCAATTCTCCCGTTCCTACACATTTTAGTGCTCCGACAAGCAATCGAACCTGCACAACATGAATATGAATCAGTACGACTAAGGAGTATTTCAAATCCGTCTCTTTATTGTCGTCAAATCAAGAGACTACAGTTGATAAACATGATCTACCAAGAGAATGGATAATAAATCAAACCTGGTGATAAAGAAAAGCACGGGCACGGGCTGTTACTACATAGCAACGATGCTGTCTTCTTATACCAAAGGTATCATCATTAGTAGACCCCACCACTTCGCCGGTATCTGTAGTAACACCATCAGTATCCATCTTGGGCTGACTTGGACATGTGAGAGGATCTCCATTGTTTAGGTTACTCCACCCCCTTTCTGTGATAGATGGAAAATATGGAGTTGATTGTACTTCAGTGACGTTTAGCTCATCCAAACATCTCATAGGTGACTTTGCCTGCAAAACAATGATTCGTCAGATTTATCAGGTTTCAAGACGAACATCAATCTACACCTAAAATACTTAACTTCTACCAAACCAAAAATTAGATGCATGGATCAGGGATTCTATGAACGGGACTGGGGAAGATATCCAACCATTCAGTACATTTCATACTGATCGTGTGTGAAATAAAGAGATGTTTAAACAAAACAAAAAACAAAGAGATTTAACCTGACAACCATTTGCCCTGAAGGAGCTAAAATCATGAGATCCAACAAGAACTCTGCATGCTTCCTGTGCACCAATCATTGACGATGATTGTTAGAGAACTCTTCTTTTTAGTGTGGTAAGGAGTTATCTTTTAAGGGGAAAGAAAAAGTTTGGATCACACTGCTGATATTGATCATAATAACGGAAAAGCTGATCAAACAGAAGTAGGTGAACCTGCATAGAGCGAAGATCTAGCTCCTCGGGAATATGCCAGGCACGGTCTTTTTCAAGGATGGATAAAGGATCGGGCCCCGATAGGAAGCGGTAGAAGTATCTACAGTAAGTGTGATGGAAATATTCATTATTGTCAAGTGCACAGACAGAAACATTCAATTGAAAGATTCCCAAAAAACAAACTCAACAGTTACCATAATAATAATTTTGCAGCATAACCTAGTGCTCTAAAACATGAACATTCAAATATTTAGATCAAAACCTTCGCCTACTAATGAGTGATGTACAAAGAATACCTACGTGCGCTCCCGGGCCTTATATCTGGCATGATAAGTATTTGGGACACACCGAACATCAATCACCATAACATCGCCTTCATTTTTCTGATGAATCAAACGTAAGGATTTGAGTGAATGTTCAGTAGTAGACAGGTCAAACTAAGTGAAAGCAAGCAATTTTTTGAAAATATTAGAGAAACTCTTAGCAAAATTGTCAAGAGACTTCAAGTAAACTTTGTGATAATCACTAATCACATGATAAATCTGTGCAAGTAACCTTGAAAGGAGAAAACAAAAAAAAATGAATACCAACCTGTAAAAAATGGTTCACAGCTTTCTGGACCACATCAGGTTCATGAGGTGGTAACTGCATTTAAAAATAGGTCCGGTGAGAATGCAAAAATATCAGTCCTTAACAGTTGCCAAGAAGATAAGAGGGGTTTGCGAATGTATACGTTAGTGAATTCAACCATAATTAATTATCTATCCCAGACTACAATTGGAACATATGTTATTCGAAACAATGTGGCCAGTGTGCTCCTCTCTTAATATTTTTTTCCTTTACACGGGAGGGACCGATAATTCCAAATTGTTAGCCACAAGATAAATAGCAGTGGGTGCAACAGAAATACCACTTCACCGGGCTTTCGCTTACTGATGCGTTCCACATCTACATGGCAAACATTTGATAGAGCATGAACTCCTGCATCCTAGAGCGATTAGAAGACGCCATAACAATGTCAGCTAAAATAAACCAAAGTAATGAGCACATCAACAAACCTAAATCAAACCCATCAAAACCAGCTTTCTATAGATATCAATTGACTGTGAAGCATGACCCTATGAATCTATTATAGTGAATCCAAAACTAGGTGAAACGTTTCTTCTGACACAAATACACTTAATGAAAAGCTCTTACCGTTCGGCTCGAGCAGAGGATCTTAACTGGCTGGCCAATAAAGTTATGAAAAGCCTTCTGCAAATGGTTAGAGAAATCAATGTATATCAATTCACACCTACGAAATCAATCTAGCAACTCAGTCGAATCACAGACAAAATCGTAAAGGATCGAGTATGTGGAATTGATGAGAGATTTTCGAAACTGATCCGCTAGTCAAAAAACATTTAATCTAAACAAAATACAGAAGACACATCAAACCTGCAATACGCCGACGACGGTACGGTGTGTAGGCTGCTGTTGTGACCCAAAGAAACGCGTTCCGATATACTCAATGGCTACCAAGTAACGTTGCGATCTAGGGTTCATAGATAGCTCCGAGTCCGACACGACCAATCCTTGTTCCTCTTCTTCGTCACTGAAATCCTCGATTCTCGCAACCTTTGCGACTCTCTCGACTGATTCCTGACAAGTCGTAGAAGAATCGAGAGGATGCTTCAGATTATCTGACATTATTATCAAAATTCTCACCCAGATTTTCGTTTTTCTCACTGCCTAAAAAGAAAGCTCAGAGACAAACAATGAGGAGGCCTAAAGGGGTTTAAGGAATAAAATATTTTAAGTCACTAATTTTTTTTTGTTTTTTAAGTCATAAATTCCGAAAAGATTAAACTGATGTTTGGTGGGTTGGGCCAGGCCCATGCAGTAGTGCAACGCATGGGGGACTCGTGAAAGCCCAGATAGCAAGCTATCTTAACGGGCTTTCTCCCTGAAAAAATAGAGTTAATATCGTGTGAGCCGATGGCCCACATATCAGATATTAAACTGATAAGAACAGATACTACACTTGATCTTAGCCAAAAGGCCGAGAAAGGTATGAGCTGGAAGTTAGGTCCAGCTTCCTTTATATAATATCAGACTTCGAAGACGTTCGTCTGTTTATTCTCGATGTGGGACAAATCAACCCAAAACGACGACTTCTTCACCTTCGGCTATAATTTCCCATTATCTTTATACGAAATGTGCTTAATATCGTTGGGTTATTTATTTTACTCTCTACACTGTATCTGAAAAATGATTAATTTTATTATTGAGATTGTGAATCTGCAGTCTCTTCAAATACATCT